ACCTCCCCCGTCCTCGCCCGCCGTGGGGGCGGGGGGCTCCCCCAAACCCAGGAGGCAGAGTTGATCAAGAGCCAGCTGAAGGGCGCGCTCGTCTTCCAGCAGCCCTCGGTCCTTAGCGCTTCCCCCGAAACATCCTAGTTCTCCAAAGCCCCCATTTCTTTCCATTATTCCAGATACCACTAGACTAGGCATGGCGAAACAAAAGCTGGGGGAGAGAGGGAGAGAGAGAGGTGGTGGAAGGGAGAAGAGGAGAGAGGAGGGGAGGGGAGAGGAGAGGAGGGTGTGTGTGGGGAGGGGGAACAAAGAGCTGGGGAGGGGGGAAGAAAGCGAGATAGAAAGATAGACCCACCCCTAAGCCCCCCTCCCCAAGCACCCTGTAACCTGACTCCCCTCGCCCCAGCCCCCGGGTGGGGGTGGGGGAAAAGAAGCAAAACCAAGAAAGCAGATCTCCTCTCGCTCCGGGGTGACGGGGTGGGGTGGGGGGCTGCGGGCCCTAGCCCCCACCCCTCCGCCTCGGATCCAGAGTCTCTACCCTCCGCCGAGCAGACGCCCCCTTAGGCTCCTGCACCGAGCCCCAGTCCCGGAGCGTCGCTCAGTGGCCCCCAATAGAGCCCAGCCCCTTCCAGCGCTCAAACTCTTTTGTTTTAAATGAACTGGATGGAGCAGCATGGAACTGACGGGAGGGGGGCGCGCCGGGGGCGCCCGGGGCATGCCGGGAGTTGTAGTTTCCCGCCCTCGGGCGCGGGGAGGAATTCCTCAACCCGGGCAAGAAGGGGATTGCTCCCCTCGGGCTCTGCCCACCGGTCGCGGGAAAGGCCTCGGGTGGGCTAGGAGTCGTGGTCCGAGAAATTTCAGGAGCGGGCGGTTTGCGGGAAGGGAGCGGGCGTGGAAAGGCGTTTCTTCTCCGCCCGCGGGTCCCGGGCCTCTTTCTTATGGTAATGAGGGCTGGGGCGGAGCGGCCGCGTGGCTGCAGTGCCCTCCCTCCTCCCGCGCGCGATCGCGGAGTCCACGGGCTCAGGCCTCCGGGAGAGAGCTCGTGGAGCAGACAAAGCCCGCGGCTGCTACGGTGGGAGGAGCAGGTCTCTGCGTTGCGTGGGGGCCAGGAAGGGGCGTTCGGGTGGGGGTGAGACCCCCGGTAGAGAATGTGGTTCCCTCATCTCTTAGGTAGCAAGCCGTTCCCCTCCCTAGCCCCCTAGTTCCGAGATCTCAGAGGCCACGGCTGGGAGGTTAGTTGTTCGTGCCCCCGTGGTCAGTGCAGTGACCCGGTGAGGGAGAAGAGGCGTGGAGGGAGAGGATGGGGTCGGGGCTGATCTGGGAAGCCAGAAGGGTCCTAGAGGCTTCCTGTGACTTAGTTTGGAGCCTTGAACTTTGGGTAACAGGAGTGAGATTGGGGCCCCTGAAAATCCAGATTTTTTTTTTTTTTTTTTTTTTGTCCTGAGTCTCGAATATAGTGGAGATCTTTTGTTCCTTAGGACTGTCGTTTCGCTGTTTCCCTCACCTCTTCCTTTTATTCAGCCCCTTTGGCCCTAGAAATATGGCGAAAGAGAGAGATCAGAAGTAAGTTTTTAAGACTTGACAGGCAGTTGAGAGGGGCGTTAGAATGTACTATAGTCTTTTTTATTCTTCTTCGATCCTACCCTGTATTTTCTGAACTTTTTTTTTTTTTTTGTCCAAGAGCAGGGATGGGACCACATCTAGAGGTCTTGAGGGCAGGCTGTAAGAACCACTTCCCCAAATTGAATAACAGTAAGTGGGTATGCCCCAGTGGGTAGGATGCCCCCACCCACTCGGGGGGGGTTCCTTTGGGAACAGAAATTTGAACTAGTTGTAAGGTAAAGTTTTGCATGAAGGTAGGGCAGTAAATTGAGGTAATCTCACGGGGATGGGGGTGTAGGGAGGCACAGTGAGGCAAGGAGGGCTAGGTTTAGGCCCATTCTCTAAAATGAGTTTTGGAAAGAGTGAGTTCTCACGTCAGTTGGGAAGGCAGGAATCCGGGCTGAGTGGTGGGAGGGTCTAAGAGTTTTACAGGCAGGCTTTTCCCCTTCTGTACAGATGGTGAAGGAGAACCTTGAGCTAGAGTAGGGGAGGAAGTGGCCCTGCATGGAGGATTTTATGGGAGTGGATGCTTGTGCCCTCTAGCAGGAGTTGGAGAGGAAAACCTGCAGAGTGGGACCCTTCTCACTCCTGTCCACCTCTCCCAGGAGCCTGGACTGGGGTGCTGGGTGCTGGGAGTGTTTTTGGAGAAAGTGTCTACTGGAAACCAGGTGACAGTGGAGCTAACAGCTGTTTGCAGCTTTCCTGTCCTCACTGAAACAAGATTCCCCCCAGAGTTTGCCCAGTCTCTGCTTTCCTCCTCACTAAACCAATTAAGGCAGGAGGTTAATGACCAACAGAGCCTTAGGGATTTGGTCAGGGAGGAAAACAAAGGGTAGAATCTTTGAGTGGGGAGAGAATGCTGCTAAAGGGGAAGGGGACAGACAGAAGGGACAGACAGACGGAAGGTGGAGTGGGCAAGGTGGCACCCCACTGGAATCCCCCGCACAGCAAAGATGCATCAGTCCTCAGGTATCTTAGCACCCCCACTCGGGGTCACACTGTGACTCCAGACCTCCTCCAAGGCAGAAGAGAGCACATGTGAGCCTGGCACCTGGAGGGCAAGGTATGCATGACGGACTCAGGCGTGCCCACAGGCACAGGCGTCTGCCGACCTGACAGACCAGTTGCCGTGGGGACATGGGAGCTGCTCTTATTTCTGTGGCTCAGGCCTCCTTTCTTCAGGCTAGTGCCACTCTGTCTGGGCTGCTGTGCGTGTGGGCCCTGCTTTGCTTCCCTTCCCCGGTGTCTGTGCAGACCTAGGGATATAAGGACAGAGGCCTAACTTAACCCACTACCTCCATTCTGCCTGTGACAGAAGAGTATGGAAGGTGTGTTTTGGTCCCCTTCAGGACTCTGAGGATGTCTGTCTCTCTCTTCTATCTGTACACCTCTGCCTCTCTGTGTCTATCTCTATGTTCCTGTCTGTCCCTTCCTTCCCCTCTCCTACTCTCCTCGCCTCTCCCAACTTCTGTTTTCATGGTGAGTTGTTGAATTGACTGTGGGCATTGAGTAGTTCTGTGTATTTGTGTGTTTATGCATGCATGGGTGTAGGGCAGGAAAGGTGACCTAGTGTGAGGAGGACCCGGTGGAGGCCCAAGGACAGGAATGTGGTAAATTCCATATTGTGAGACCTGTTTCTCTGTCCTGAGCACTGTTGAGTACCTGTTTTTGGCTGTCTACACAGTGACTACCAAGTAGAAGGATACACCTAACACCAGAGCCCTGGGAAGGGAGGGAAACACAGGAGGCTGTCACCAAGCCTCACCAAGCAGGCTGGCCTTGGTTTATCATCCCTGCTCGTGTCGTCCTGCTCCTCACAGACTGCTTCAGAACCTCCTTGTCAGTTCAGCCTCCCTCATGCTTTATGGGGTTTCCACTTGCCTTTTTTTTTTTTTATTAAATTGTATTTCATTTATATATTATGGGTGTCCACCTGCTGCAGCATATACACACGAGGGTTAGAGAACAACTCGTGAGAACAGGTTTTGTCTTCCTTCACCACATGAGGCCTGGGGATTGAACTCAGGTTGTCAGGTTTGGCAGCAAGTCCCTTTATCTTAGCTGCCTTTTTTCCCTTTTTCTTTTCTTTTCCTTCCTTTCTTCCTTTCTTTCCTTCTTTCCTTCTTTCTTTCTTTCTTCTTTAGGTTTTTCTTTTCTTTTCTTTTTTTGGCTTTTCGAGACAGGGTTTCTCTGTGTAGCCCTGGCTGTCCTAGAACTCACTCTGTAGACCAGGCTGGCCTTGAACTCAGAAATTCGCCTGTCTCTGCCTCCCAAGTGCTGGGATTAAAGGCGTACGCCACTACCACCCGGCCTATTTTCCTTTCTTAATACCTTATGTTGGAAGTACAGCTGGATGTCTAGCCTCTGTCTTTCTTGCTGAATGTGCAGCCAGTTTTCTTTCTTAGGCTGGAGTGTACTCAGTTTGTTAATTTCTTTTTTCTTTTTCCTTCTTTCTTTCTTTCTTTTTTTTTTTTGTTTGTTTTTTTCAAGACGGGGTTTCTCTGTGTAGCCCTGGCTGTCCTGGAACTCACTCTGTAGACCAGGCTGGCCTCGAACTCAGAAATCTGCCTGCCTTTGCCTCCCAAATGCTGGGATTAAAGGCATGCGCCACTACTGCCCAGCTCTGTTAATTTCTTTAGAACAGTTTTGCGGTGTTTTGTGTGTCCATGCATGTGAGTGTGTTTATGTATGTGTGTGTGTGCCACAACTCACATGTGAAAGGCAAAGGACAACTTGAGGCAATTCTAGGGGTTAAACTCAGGTCTTCAGACTTGGGGGCAGCTCCTTTACCTATGAGCCTTCTTGCCTGCCTTCAACTTAGTTCAACTAATGAGAATATATTGAGTAAAATTCTGCAGGCTATGAAAAAGGGCCTCAGACTTGATCCCTGCTCTCATGGAGACACAGGAACTGGTCTACATCGCCAAGGCAATAAGTGGGGGCAAAACTATCTTTTGGGCTTGAAGAGCCATCAAGGCAGGAGGGGTAGGTCGCAGGCCCTTTGTTTCTCTGCCTCATCTCCAAGCCTTTTGTGGCCCCAGGCTTAGACCTAAACAGACATTTCTGCTCCCCACTGCCAGATCCCCGGCACTATCCATGACTCCCCCAGGGAAAGCAACTCTGAGGGGCTGGGGTGGAGCCTGGGCCCCACAGGACAGCTGGCTAACAAGGGCCCTCTGGGACTCTGGTCTGGGCCCAGGCATCCAGGAGGCCGTGATACTGGAGCTGTGACAGTTGGTCCTTAGATTCCCCACCCAGTGGCGCCAGCTCTGGTTTCGGGCTGGGTGAGGGAGGGGATTAGTTGCTCTCCTGGGACAGGGAGGCAATAAGCATGGCCCCTGGAGAGTATCCCTGTGAGGACGGTTCCTCCCTGGGGCAGAGCGATAGGTTGGATGTGAGGGAGGGTTTGGTCCTGGGTGAGCTGCTGAATGCCATACATGAAGTAGAATATTATGTGCAGGAGGTCAGAGTGGGAGTAACTTCGTGAGGTTTAGCCCTATCCAGTAGCCTCCTTTGCAGGGGCATGCAGCCCAGAGACTCAGGTCAGTGACTCTTCTGCACCATTCTGTTTCCTTTGCAGAAAAGGGAAGAGGATGCCAGAGAAGTGGGTGAGGAAGGACCTACCATTTCTG